AGATAAGTCTTATAAACTAGATTAGTGTTACAAACTAGATTATTGATACAAACTTGATTAGTGTTACAAATTAGATTAGTGTTACAAACTAGATTAGTGTTACAAACTAGATTAGTGTTACAAACTAGATTAGTGTTACAAACTAGATTAGAGTTACAAACTAGATTAGTGTTACAAACTCGTTTTAATATTAAATAGATATTTTAATTTTCACCTTAAAATTTATAAGATTTTGTAAATGAATTTCATATTTTTATATGGATATTTATTCATTGATAATTTTCATTATTAATTTGTTGATATTTATTCATATATAATACAAGAAAACTTTAACTTAGCTAATATTTATATTTTGGATGCAGTTGTAAATCGCATAAACTCAGCTGCAAATAAGAACCTGTCTAATTCTTGTAAATAAGAACCTATTTAATTCATAAAGCACCTTTTACAACGCAAAAGCTCTAAAGTTCGCTATGAAGAGAATAATGAACAATGGCTACAAAATGAACCAATATCAGGTAAATTTTTTTATTGATAATAAGAAAATTCTACCAACTGCTTCCATTGATAAAATCTGCTCTTATTCAACTGTAGTATCTGGCAGGCCTCAGGTGAATTTTGATATTTTAGGTAGTAAAACAAATAAAAGAAGATTGACTTTATTATTAATGCATCATATTAGTTTTAAGAAATAATGTTTGCAGGTTGTAGTTTGTGCCAAGATGGTAAAGAAAAAGAAGCTAAAGCTGTTTTACAATTATCAGAATGTATGAGTTTTGGTTCGAAAAATAATTATAAATCAAAATTTTTATACTATTTTATACACAAAAAGGTTTAAGCTTTAGCTTTTTATATGGATTATGTAGTAGTTTCATGAAAAATATTTAAAATTATTAATTTAATCAGACTGACACATTAATATTAGCTAAGTTTATAACATTAATGCTTAAAGAAAAGTTACTCAAACTAGTTATTATGCAAAATGAACCGTTGCCTGGCATTTCAGGTGTCACTATCAACTAAATAAAAAATCTTTAGTACTACAATATTTCTAGAATAAAAATACTTAATGTGGTAATTATGGGAGTAATACAATAAAGTTATTAGGGGTAAAGCGGGCATATCGGGACAGTAGGGCATAACGTGACATTTATGCCTGAAGCCTTATATCTCAGTTAAAAAAAAAAAAAAATTTATTATTTTGATAAAACATTTTGAATTATTGGGCTTTATTATTGTAAAAAAAAAAAATTAATTTTAGAAATATCAAATGCATTAAAAGTACTATAATGCATCAGTGAGTTTGCGAAAAACAAAATTTGCTTATTTTCTTAAGCGATTCAATGACAAAAGATTTATCTTGAACTATTGCAAATTCGCTTTATTTATAAAAATTTTATTGTTTTTAGAAAGAATTTTTTATCCTCTATTAGAATTTAGTTTTAAGAAATTATATGGAATTGAACTTTTTGAAAAGTATTCATTTGAGTAAAATTACCTTTGTGGGGCATATCGGGACAAAAAGTTATTTATATAATTAAATATATTACTACCATTTTGTGATGCTTTTTACAGTTTGATGAATTTATTTTTAATCTAAAATATTTTTTTTCTTAGTTAGAAAAGCAATTTTAGTAATAATTTTAAGGAAATTCTTACTTTTATAACTTAACTTTGATTATTAACAGTGTTTAATGTAAACTCAGATGGTAAGAAATTATATAAGAAACATCAGTCACCCAAAATGGGATGAAATGCAGTTTAAGCTGTGAGTAAAAAGGAACTTAGAACTAGAAAAGTTGCTGATAAATATGGCATATTTAAATTTGCTCTACATTGGCATATTGCTTATTAGCCAGCTCCTTAAAAATGTTGCCAAAAATTCAAAAATGTTATTTAATTTCAAACTTAGTAGTTGCTACCATTTTAAAAATATGTAGGTTAGAGTAGAGCGGAAGTATTTTATAATAAAATACAAAAAAATGAAATTTATTTTTTGTGGTGTATGTGTGTATGGGCGTGAAGTTTATGGGTAAGTTACTTTTTTGAGAGTTTAATGTCTGAACATATTTAGACAATAGTTAGTCTTCACTTTTAATCATTTAGAAAGCTTTACAACTGACGAATAACTGCTGCTTTTTAACTGTCTTATTTTGCCCCACCCACTTGCAAAACTTTTACATTTTGCAAGTGGGTGGGGCAAAATATAGAGTTTTCATTATTTATTGTAACTTATTTAAAAAATTTTTTTTTGCTTTTTCGTTTTCTTATGTCAATAAATTTTAGGAAAATTATAAAAAACAGTGTTAACTATGATTAGCTTATCTCAACAAGCATTTGTTTCTTAAGTGTCTCTATATGCCCTGCTCTACTTTTTCTAGTTTATATTTGTTAAGGTTAATAAGTTATGTGATTGTTTAAATAATTTAGGTATCCATAGCAACCCAAAAATAAAACTAATGTCACCATTGAAACCGAAATCGTCAAATTAGTAAACAGTGCAAAAATGGTTCTTAAATCTTTTTTGTATGACAAGTTATTAGTTTTGTCCAGTAATAATGAATTGAGGCCCACTGTGCACTGTCGATTTGAAAATAATAAAAAAAACATTGGATGTATAATTATTCATGACACTGAATTACCGTAGGGTTGTAATTTATTACTCATTAGCGGTTAGTTATAATGATGAAAATAAATTATTTTACGTCCTTTAAGTAATTAATCAATATGTTTTTAATTAATTAACAAATTTCTCACTTTCTTGGTAATCTGGATGCTTTGTCTACTTGTGAATTGGTTTAGCAAGCTAGTCTATGTTGATACCAAGAATTCAAAACAATGTGTGGGATTCAGGTCACAGAAGATTTACCAAACCTGTTTGACGAGTGATTTTACGAAAAATCGGTTTACCAAGACGAAAACTCTTCGGCACTGGAATTTCTAAGAGCTTTGAAGCCATCTCCAGTTTCTCAGAGGGTGAAACATGTTTAGTGAAGAAAGCAAATAGAACTACCTCCTCCATCAAGTACCATCGGTGATTGTTCATTTAAAAAAAAAAGAAAACATCAACATTTCTTTGAAATTCATCATGTCGTGAATGAGCTGCAAATCATTGAATGGCACACCAGCGCCAATGCAAGCTTTTGCCCGAGCTGGTGTGTGGAAAAGTGAAAGAAACCGATTTATTCTAAAAAGTTTGGTCTTCATCTCCTCGTCATATGGCATTTTTCTTGAAAATTTAAACATTTTGCCAGCATAGATGTTACAAGCTATCCACCGTGCTTGGTAGATGGCTCCTGGTTTCAGAAAATGTAAACCACATGGCGGAGTTTGCCCAAATATGATGAGTGTATTTTCACGATAGTCGTTTCTTGGAAATGTTGCAGCATTTTTGTATGCAAGTAGATTTGTCAGATGCTTTATGGTCTGCTCTTTTATAGTTTTCAACCAGGTGCTTTCAACTTCTAAAGTTTCAATTGGCAACTCTTTATTTAATGTTGGCCAAAAACCTTTAAAATTAGTGAAGAACTTATTTTCTGGTCCAAAAATATTTTCAAACAATTTTTTTTAAACTGCTTCGACGAAAATTTTTAAGATATGGTGTCGACAAGCAAGGTAAAGAAGTTTTCTACCTAAACATTTTTTCAATTAGTTTAGCAGCACCATTGTGGATGTTACTGTTACTGTTTACTGTTATCTAAGAGATCCAATGTTGCATTGACTTGAGTTTTTCCTTTTGAGTCAGAAAAAGCAGGAACTCTCAGCAATTTTTCCTCACTATATTTCGGAGCTTTAAACTATATTAATAAATAAATATTTTTTTTTTCAAGTGAAATAACTTTCATTATTTTAACAATCAAAATCAATATTTTACTAGTAACTTTTTATAAAAAACTTTTTAGTAAAACTTTTTATAAAAAAGCTAAAAAATGAGCTATATACAAATGCATTTCGCGTGATAACTACAAAAGCTTTTGACATTATTTTTTATGCATTGTGTTTTAAAGGCTTTGCAATTTGTTTGTTGAAATCCGCTACTTAAATCGTTAAGAACATCACACAACAATTTTTCAAAATCCTATAACACTTCCCTATAAATTTTCAATAGTGTAACGCGACAAATAGCGGATTCAAATACAAATTTATCAACAAGTTGTTTCGTATTATATAAAAAAGTTATATGTTTAGTTGCTCGCGTTTATAAGGGAAATTAGATTTAGTAAGTTTTATTTTCAAAAAATTCTTAACGCTTTTTTTGTAATTTTGCAATTCTAAACTTATTTTTAACAGAAAACTTGTTTATTTAAACACTCTATTAATCCATAAAGAGTAAAGAAGGCAAATCGTAAATGATTACGCCTAATTGTTTGTATTTAATAAATAACTAAAAGAAAAACAAAGCAAACAGTAAAAAAAACAACTTGCCTGTAATAAAACTTTGTTCTGCAGTATTTTTTTACCATTAAATTGCATTAAGTGAACAATTTGTGAGAAAAATGTTTCTAACTTTTTATTTGAGTATTTTGTTTTTACCAACTCAGTAATGTGGCGGGGAGCCAAGTGGGAAATTGCCCCCGGACGCGAAGGCTTAAAGGCAGTGGCGGATTAAGACTTCTTGAGGCTTGGGGGATTCGACCACTTCCAACTTTTCTTTTTAGAGATCCATTCTCCAATTTTACGATTGTTTCGTAAGCAGTTGATCTGGCTAAACCCCATCCCATAAATTGCTTAGCAACAAACCCCTTTACCGTTTTCTCGATATTTTTGGAAAAAAATTTCAATCATTTTTTCGAAGTCCTTTACTTTGACAATTTTATTTCAATATTGAAATAATATTTTTAACTTAATTAAATTAAATTTAAATAGATTATAAAATCGTCTTTCAAATAAGTATAAAGGTTTTTTGCGTGCATATAATAAATTACATAATAAATGCAATTTAAAATTTGTCCGAAATTTTATTTAGGGCGTTACAAGTAATCTTTTATTCTTATCATTAGCTAAGAAAGCCGCTGTTATTACATTATCATTGTTTATCAGTAGAATATTTAGCAGGTATAGCTTGTTTCTTTTCTTTTTTTGAACTATGAATGTGTGTGTTTGTATATATATATAGATATAGATATATATATATATATATATATATATATATATATATATATATATATATATATATATATATATATATATATATATATATATATATATATATATATATATATACATATATATATATATATATATATATATATATATATATATATATATATATATATATATATATATATATATATATATATATACATATATATATACATATATATATATATACATATATATATATATACATCTATATATATATATATATATATATATATATATATATATATATATATATATATATATATATATATATATATATATATATATATTATATATATATTCATACATATATGTATATATATATATATATATATATATATATATATATATATATATATATATATATATATATATATATATATATATCTATGTATATATATATATATATATATATATATATATATATATATATATATATATATATATATATATATATATATATATATATATATATATATATATAAAGCATTATATAGTATGTTAAAGAAAAGCATCATTTCCTTTAAAGTTAAGCGACTTATATTAATTGTTAGGCAATTTATATTAATTGTGTAGAATTTTCGATATCACGATATCCTTTGGATACAAGAAAAGAAGAAAGAGAGTTATTACAAGTAGAAGCTGTTTATGGTTGTATCGATAAAAGCTAGTATTTATTTCTTGGTTTTCTTTGATAATCAAGAAGAAGATTTTAGACGTATATTTAGAAGTAATTTAGACGTATATTTAGAAGTATTTTAGACGTATATTTAGAAGTATAAATTTTAATTAGCTATATTGTTTATCCTTTATGAGAATCATGATAATTGTAATAGGAACTTTGGTGAACCACATAAACTTTATGTAGTTCATCAGATTCTCATAAAATAATAAATAAACAAGTTTTTCCTTTATGATAAAGGAAAAACTTGTTTATTTAGTATTTTAATAAAAGTATAACAAGACATGTTTACATGTCTTTGTATAACAAGACATGTTTTTAATATAACTTTTTTAATTACACGATTGTGCAAGCAAGTAATAATGATGTTTTTTGTAGTTTAAATCTTATTCAAGCATTAAAAACTTTGTCTCTAGTTAGAAATATTATTAATCAACACCTCCAAACACGCTTTAAACAAGTCTAACAATTGCATTTCAAATCATTTTAACTTGGTTATTACTGTTTCTTTGCTAAACTATCTGATTACTGAGTTTAACACAATGGTTGATTGATTGATACAACTTTGAAGTTTTATAAACCACCTGTGTTTTAATTTCTTTTTTCTAATATTCAGTTTCTTCTAAAAACAATTGCAGATATTTAATATTTTGTTATACTAGTTGGGAAGACCAAACCATATGTTTTAGTGTCTTTTGTTTAACCAAAGGCTTTATTAGTTTTATTTATTATTTATAAACCAAAGGCTTTATTACTTTAATTTGACCTGTGGAAATTTAGTTGAATTTCACTTAACTGCCTGAATTTCAAAAATGAACTTTAATCTAATAATGCTGAAACATTACAAGCCTTTTCTTTACTGAGGTGCCTAAGAGAAGGTTACAACAGAGTAGTAAGTAGACGTTGTAAAGCAAAATGGATTAAGTCTAAATGATTTAGTTTAGCTAGTCTATAGATAATAAACAATTTTTTAATAAGTTTTTAACAAATTTGTTATAAATACTTATAAGTTGTGTTTTAAATAAAATTTAAATTTGATAAAATTTGTGTCGGTGCCCCAAACTTTGAACCCCTGCGTATATTAAATTAAGCACGAATTTCACTGTTTACAGTCATTATGTCTACTATCAGATTACAATTTAATGGAAAAAATATTTATTTTTGTATTAAGCATTATTACACATAACAATACACGATATTTGAACTTGGTTGTATATGATAAAACAAAAGCACAAATACAAATTAAAATAAATGGAATTATATTTTCCAGCAAATTATGAAGAACAGTGACAGATTCAGAAATTTTTAGTGAGGGAGGAGGAAGGGGATGTTAGAATTTTTTGGTATCACTTTTGTATCTCCTAAAAACAAAAAAAAGATCCTACATTTCTAAGATATTTTAGGAATTTCAGATTCTGGTGGGGAAGATACATACCCAGCATCCCCCCATCCCCGGATCCGTCGCTGATGAAGACTAGTCAATTTACACTAATTTTACTCTGCGAACTTTCTTCATCGCAAAGCTAGAGATGAAATCAACATAAGGTTAGTATGGCGTTCTTCAATCATAGTTGATCGTAATTTGTATTTAATGCCTACTCTCCTTCAGCCACTGAAACTAGGATTGTATTAAAAATGCGAAGCAAAATGCAGATGGAAGAAAATATTGTCTGAAGACCTTTCTGGTAGATTCCGTTGAGCAACTTGGGATTATAATTGTCCAAAAGAACATCTAGATGGTAGATTTCTTCAATCAACTCCTCTTGTTTTACATAATTTATGTAGAGATTTGCTAGGGCTCTGCACTTTTCTTTCTGACTAAGTTTTTCTAAATCACTAGAAATATGTCCGTTGTCTTTTGAGCTGTATTCGTTCTGCTTCTTATTTGCTGGAGTAGTATGTTTAGAGCAGCATTAAACACATTCACATTTAAAACACTTTGATTTGTCTTCGTAGAAATGGTCTGTATTCATTGACTTGCCTTGAAGTGTTTTTCTTTAAATTTGTCCTTTTTTAACAAAATCATTTTTAAACCCAAACAAAGCTAACCTTGATGGAACTAGTTTCGCTTCATGGAGGATTTGGGGCCAAGAAAAATGTAGTTGGTCAAGATCATCGGTTAGAGTTTTTAAAAACTTTGTATTGTTGTCCAAAAAAAATACTATCTGATTGAAGAAGGAGGCAGACATTGTTGATACATAGGGGAGCCTTGAACCAGAAAGAAGTCAAGATAATAAATTCATATGATTGAATCAACTTTTAAATGAATTCACTAAAGTCAGTTGATGATCTTCTAAATCAAGTATTTCAAAAAGTTGCTATGACTTCAGAATTTCTTTTGGTCGTTTCGACAATGGTCGCACACAATCTACGCGCGCACTCCATCTTGTTTGAGACTTTTTGTAAAAGGAAAGCTCAGTTGCCTCATGCAAAACTTTCCAGCGCATGGAGCTACTATTAATTTATAAAAATTTATAAAACAATTGGATGTTGCCAAAATAACTCTTAACTACAGTTGAGGATTCCACAGAATGAACTCCAGATAGATTGAGACTATGCGAACTGCATGGTAAGTACAACATATGAGAATTTTTTTCGAGAATGATGGTCTCCACTTTTTTATATACAATGGGGAAAGTTAGCCCCGTTATCGGCCTCTACAGTTTAAAATTAATTTGGCTTTGATCCAAAGTGTTTATAATAAGCTGTGCAATGTCACAAAACTCTTTTTACTTTCCAGATTATCTACCTTCAGAAGCTATTTTACCGAACAAATACTACTACCGAACAAATAGAAGAAAACTACCGAACAAATAGAAGAAAAAACGTGATTTGTTTAATATGAGACATCCGGTGTTCCAACAATATCAACGTAAAAACGGTTGAGTGGATCAATTTGACAATAGCAATAACAATTTGCCCTCATATCATAAAGAACTCATCTAGATTAATATTCCAAGCAACATTAAATTATTTTATGAATATAAACTGTAAACACACATTTTTCATGAATGTTGCCAAAGTTTCAGGTCAAAATATTCGTTATTTCGGATTTTGTGGTACTTTTTGTAAAGCTTACCTTAATTTCAATATCGTTCAGTAACTAAAAATTGTATTTTCTTATATATTTTCAATAAAAAGGTAATATATCTTAAAAACATGGTTCATAGTAAACCGAAGATGCAGATTGCATATTATTTATTACAACTTTCATTTCATGTCTAGATTTTCATCAATGGTTCATCAAATAGCATCACAAATTCAATACCATAAACTTTTATTGTTTTTTTGCAGGGTCATTCTCCGGAACAAAAGATTTTCAGTACAGTTACTTTTTCTGAAGCTTTTATGTACTAATATAATAATACGGATAAAAAATCAGCTTTTAAAAAATGCCCATGTTGAGTTATTATGAAAGGAATTTGGCGACAAAAGTAAAATACCCAAAAAACTATGTATTTGAACCGCTAAAATTTTTAATGCTTCATTGGAAAGAATTTGTCTTACACTTGTAGAAACAATGAAAATCATGCTGGAGATTTTTTCTATGAACGAAAAAAAGTAGGTCAATAAATAGAATTTTTTTAATTTTAAGTTTGTACTAAATCTAAGGATTTATCATACTGAATTAAAAACAAAGTTTGTTCAACCAAAAATTAAAATATTTTGACATTCAAAATATATATTTTTATATTTGCTTGAGTTATTTCAGAAAAATAAACAAATCAGCAAAGTATGATATTGCAATATTTAAAGCGGCGCTTAACTACAAATCAGTAAGTTTTCTGACTAAATTCAATTTTAAGATTTTTTGTAATTAGATTTTATAATCATTTCATTTCTAAGGGGCTGTCCATTAATTACGTTAACAATTTTATGGCAGTTTTAGATTACAGATGATATAATATGTTCAAGATATACTATTAATACTAGCCTTTCTTTTCTTGTCTAATTTTTGTCGGTTTGCTAATCAAAGAGTCGCACCATTTTTAAAAATGCCATTATAAAATATTTTTAATGTTATTATTGACATGGTATTGAAACAATCTAAATTCACTAAGCAGATAAATTTATTTTCGTGGTTACTTTTTTCAATAACCCCATTACATAAAAACGAAATAAAATTTTTAATTTCATCTAGAGGTGGGCGATAACAATAACTTAGAATTTTATTATTTATTTTTTTGGTTAAAATTCAATAATCTAAAACTTCAATCGTTAAAAAAAAATC